TAAGGGGTTACTGGGGAACCTAGGGAAATTCCATTTCATGTGGCGAGTTTTCGGCCCACAGAGCAGCGACGCAAGATAGGAAAAGTTAGGGCTGTAAAGGTCTCGCCCATGCCTCTCTTGCCCTCTCTGGCGACCTTTACACCAGGACTGAATTCTGGGACTCTTGGCATCCGGGTTTAGGGTTTGGGGCTTAGGAGGCTGCGGGATCCGGTTCAACATCGTGGTTTCAGAGGCCTTAAACCATAGATGTGGGATAGGCTTGGAGCTACGAGGGATTCGTGCAGCCCGCATGGCCACGCGGGAACCTTTCTTACTTGTGTGATGCCCATCGTAGGGCTTTAGGACTTGAAGGTGCAGGGGTGGGGGTGTAGGTGGCCTGAGTGAGTCTTTGGCAACCATGATGATGGAAGAGTGCATTCAAACGAGCACCCAACGCTATCCCCACCTTTTGGGTTCAGGGNNTTTTTGGCATTACATATTTGGTCTATCTTCGACTACTTTGAACTTGTTTGGGCCCGGTAGTTGAAGAAGAGAGTTTGACAAAGCCAGAACCACCAAAGCCCATGATTTAAGGTATATTCCTCAATTGAGGGGTACTGGGTTCTCTGGGTAATGCATTACCCCCTCTGTTTCCAGCGCCCCTAACCCTCAACAGACCACCAAGCCCTTGAAGAGTATTTGGGATCGAATGATTAGAATAGAATAAGCGTTTCGGGATATATATTCTTGTATAGTTCTTTAAAAGATTAGAATAGGTTTTTGGGATTTGTTCTTATATATTTGCTTATCTATAATGGGGAATCCGTACAATTAAAACGGGCAATCTGTTGCAAAAGCAGCCTTCAACATCTAAAAGAAGAGAGCGCCTGAGGCCCCAAACCCTAACCCTGAAAGCCCACCACCACATGATAAAAGTCAGCAAAGCCAGACCTAAGAAAAAATCTGGTGGTCATAGGGTTAAGGGATCCTCCCCCATGCGAAATCCAATCCTACGTTCTCTAAACCCTAAACCCTAAACCCCTAAACCCTAAGCCCCTAAACCCTAAACCCTAGACCCCTAAACCCCTAAACTCTCAGGAAGCCAAGCCTGGAAGCGAACATGGAGCACAGCACGGCCCGGAAGCCCGCCATGGCCTGTGGAATGGCTGCGACTCGCGCTTCCTGCCGAAACAGAGAGGCGTCGGTTTAGGGTTTAGGGTTTAGGGTGTCCGCAAGCACAACTTACCCGCTTGGAGGTTCATGGGTAGTTATAAGTGGGGTTATAAGTAGGGTAACTATACTTGTGACGGGTTTCGCTTAGGGGACTTATAACCCCACTTATAACTACCCATGAGCCTCCAAGCGGACCTACAGTCGTTCTACAAGAGTTCGTCCTTTAACCCCGCTCGGTTCATGGGTAGTTCTAAGTAGGGTTATAAGTAGGGTAACTATCCATCACGCATATTGGGGGGGACTTAGAATCCCATTTTTAAAGCCACCGACGAACCTCCCAGCAGCTTCTTTTGGTCTTGGCAGGTAGCTCTTTCCAAGAACACAGCTATGCCGCTTTTGCCAAGTGCCCCGGCAGTTCTCATGGTTGAGGTGCACAGAAAGTCTTGGGGTTCAGGGTTCCTTAAAGGGTTCCTTAAAGGGATCTATTATAAGGGATCTATTTTAGGGTTTAGGGTTTAGGGTTCAGGGTTTGGGGTTTAGGATGTAGGGTTCAGGGTTTAGGATTCCGGGGTCGCCGCAGGTATTTCGAAGGTTGTCTTGGGGCATGGAGGTGCAGGGGTTGACATAGAAGCCTAAATAGTCACCAATATCATTTTTTGACCTTTGTTTCTAGGGTTCCTTGTCACAACAAAAAATAGAAGAGAGCCCCCAACACCCGAGTCTAATTAATGAGGCCCTTATATTATAGACCCAAAGCCCCCTAATTACCACCCCTGAAGCCTTGGTTTCAACCCTGAAAACCCCTAAACCCTAAATTACTAAACCCTAAATTACTAAACCCTAAATTACTAAACCCTAAACCCTAAACCCTAAATTACTAAACCCTAAATTGCTAAACCCTAAACCCTAAAAAACCCCCCACTGTCGAAGATACCCAACCCTAAACCCCTTAAACTCCCTAAACCCTAAACCCTAAAGCCTCCCCACTGGCCAGGATACCCCCCGGCAGCATGCAAGCCTACCGTCTTCTGGCCGGAGGCTGCTTTTTTGCGGGTTTTTTTGGGGATTCCGCGTGGGAAAGGGGTTTGGGGCTTAGGGTTTAGGGGTTTAGGGTTTAGGGCTTAGGGTTTAGGGCTTAGGGGTGTAGGGTTTAGGGTTTAGGGGTTTAGGGTGTAGGGTTTAGGGTTTGGGTTTTTTGGGTTAGGCCGCAGTGGGAAAGGGGGGAAACGTAGGGGCGATAGTAGCTCGAATTGGGTTTGAGGATCCCCTATAGTCTGGTTACATAGAGGGACTACAAGGGAGTACTATTTCTACTACTGTTGATGATATAAATCCTGCATGACCTTGAGCGCCCTAAACTATGGGAATTATGGTATATTCCTCATTATGGATAGTGCAGGATTAATATCATCGACCGTAGTAGTAGGCTTGGGGCATCCACTCTAGCATGGTCATATAGGGACGAACAATACCATGTCTCAAAGGGTAGAGCGCTTGCGATCGTAGGGGGCTTCTTGTTCCGTCTTCCAAAGACAAGCTTTTCTGGAAGGCTTCAGGGATTAAAGGGTTTCCCGGTGTTGGAAACATCTTAGTGTCTTGGGGCTTTAGGGTTTAGGGCTTAGGGTCTTGTATTCAGAAATGCTTGCCGTGATATCTTGGGGTCCACTGTCGGCTCTTTGCTGCAGCCTTGTAGCAATCTGCTTGGTTCTTTCGAGCTCCGCTGACACCAAGTGCTTCGTCATGGCCGTCATCCGCAACATCTCAGCCACCCTCTTCGGTGCGGTGGTGGCGAACATGCTGCCGTTCCTCTTCTTGCAGGCGGGCATGAGCAGCGTTTCCGCCAAGTGGGCCTGGATGACAAGCCCTCCTAAGTGTGCCTCCGCGGCGCCCGACACTTGGGACTTTGACGGCCAGGCCACAATCGCCGCCGGCACTGCAGGCACCGTTACTTGCAAGAATGGTGGTACCCCTTCGGTCTCCCCAGTCAACTGTCCCATGAGCAACGAAAATGCCACTCAATCGTCCGAAGATGCGGCTTGGTGGGGCATTTGTGGCTTCGGGGACTCCTGCGCAGCGGAGATGCCCATCGGCACCAGCGTGACGGGCTGCACGGCACCCACCACCTCACAGAACGCTGCTGACGTGGGCAGCAGCGTGCGCTCCGCCGTGCTGTCCGCCGCCTCAGCTGCGGTGGGCATGGCGGTGCTCCAGTGAAGCAGAGCACTTGTGCAGAGCGTCTTTTGTCTGAGACAAAAGGCATTTTCCGCAGAGCTGCGACCTGACCAGCTTTGCGTTTCCGCGTGTTGGACTCGAAGGGTCCTCCAGGAGTTTTCCCGAATGCAAGGAACCGCTTGTACAGAATGAGTTCCTGTGCCTAAGACACTTCGGCCCGCCGCAAAACAGCCCAGAGTCTGCCGATGCCGGGCCGACGTCCCCCCTATGCCCGCAGCCTGTCTCCTGAGTCAGTCCTTAGTCAGTAGCTCAATAAGTATACTTTACACTTTGGTTTGGGGGGGGGGGGGGGAAATATTTTCTCTTATGTTATGGAATTATTATATAGAACTGAAAGGTCAATTTTTGGGGGGTACACCATGAATGTTACATCGGAAACCCCAAACCCTGTTTTGAAGGATAGCAGTATTCAGTCCTCTAGGGCTTAGGGTGTAGGATTATGTAATATGTGAGGCCCCTATATTCATCTAGGTTCCCCAGTGGTACCCTTCTGCCCTGATTATTTGGGGGTCTCCTTATTAAAGCCGAATGTTAGGAAAAAGGGTACCCTTATTATTAAGGGGTTACTGGGGAACCTAGGTAATATGTAAGGCCCTTATATTCATCACGTTAGCCTGCCATACTAAGGGTTAGAGAACACCAAGAGCTTGGTGAGGGGGGTTTCTTGCGCTTAAGGAATCTGACTAAAGTCACAGTAACGGAGCCATGCCATGCTATACGGCCTTTACCCCCATCATGGCAACTCGCACTGGGGCTTCAGAAAACAAGGAGGCCCAATATGAAGCCCTAAATACTAGGATCCTGATGCTAAGGACTGGCAAAAGGGACCCGAGGAACTTCCAGATGAAGTTACTCAACAAGAAGCCACCCATCGGTGTGAAAATATCAAGCAGCCCTTGGGAGGGTACATTATAGTATGCGTTTAGATATCGTCACATAGGTTTATTTCCAAGCCTTTCTAGTAGACCCGCGGTATTAGGATGCTAAATTCCTCGATGCTCTTAAACTCAACGCCTAGAAGCCCCAACGAGTCCTTGTAGGAGTGTTTGACGGTGACCTTGAGGGTGTCGGGTTCACGGAAGCACAAGTCAGTTGTAAGCACCTAGTCGCCCTGGTCCGAGCCAGGTAGCCGGCATGGGAAACACACTTCCTCAGTCATCTGCCAAAAGCGGGAATAGACCTTATGGCTGCTTTAGGGTTTTTTTAAAGTACTGGTTTAGGGTTTAGGGCTATCATCTGAAGGACCCCAAACTGAAAAAGCAAAGCTCCGTGGAAAGAACCTGAAGGTTGCTTACCAAAATAATACATCCCTAGAAAAAGATACCTAAGGAACCCTAAGACACATAGCTTGCAGACCCTGGAAATGCTCAAACCCTAAACCCTAAAACCCTAGAACCCCAAACCATGGCCCCAAAAAGGTTCCTAAAGACGGGACCCCGGCAAGGTGGGCAGTCCAGTGGGCTCGGCGGCAGCAGCTGTGGCCGTCCACTATCGAGCAGACTGTGCCAAAGGCACCAGGGTTTATTTAGGGGTTTGGGGTTTAAGGACTCGTTTTAAGGGCTCCTTTAAGGGTTAGTAAGGGTTTAGGGGTTTAGGGCTTAGGGACTCGTTTTAATTAAGGGCTCCTAAACGGGTGCTAGAAGAGGGTTCCCTTTAAAGGGGTCGGGCTTCAGGGTTCTTTTGGTTGTGGGTTTAGGGCTCCTTTGACGGTTAAAGGGGTCATGTTTAAGGATTCCTTTTAGGGCTCCTTTAAGGTTAAAAAGGGTCCCTCTAAAGGGCCCCTTCCATAAATCAGGGGCTCCGTTACAGGGGCTCGTGTTGCCTTCGCGCCGGCCACTGAAGGTCTGACGGCGGAGATTAGGGTGGGTAGTTATAAGTGGGGATATAAGTCCCCTAATATGTATAGTTACCCTACTTATAACCCCATTTATAACTACCCATGAACCTTCAAGTAGGGTTTAGGGTTTAGGGGTCGCCCAGAAGCACCGGCTTCCGGGGCTCTTCTTGAGGGGTTTGATTTTTAAGTTACCATAATAGGGGGTCTATCGTAAATAATAGGGTTTCTTTATTATGGCTATAGCAACTAAGATGGTTTCTTTGTTATGGAAACTTAAATTTCATCCCTTATATAGCAAGAACCCAGCTTGTGGAGGAGAAACGGGACAGCGAAGGCGCTCAAGGCAAGAAAGTGGCGTGTGAAGCGTCTCAGGCAAGCACTGACTCGACTGAATCCTGCGGATCTTCAAGAGATGGCTCCATTACTGGCAGTAATACAGAAGGACGGTTCAGAGAACCTGCCGAAGATGGTGCACCGGCTTTCCCAAAGGACTGGTCCCAAAACGGACAATTTCGTGCACTTCCCGGGTGTTCTGATCATAATGGTTTCCTTGCAGGGTTTAGGTTTAAGGGCTTACGATATAGGAACTGCGACAACGATTCGAACAAGGTTTTGTTTAATAGAGCTCCTTCAAAAGGGTTCGTTTAAGGGTTGCCATAGGTATCTCACAGCATAGGCAGTATAAACAGGTGTCAGGATACCAAGGGACAAGTATTGGTAAGTATTCAGACCCCTATATTACTGGGCGCTTGCTAAGGGGTTTAATGTAAGTTACCATAATATGGGGTCGATAGTAAATAATAGGGGTTCTTTATTATGGTCACTTAAGCCAAGTCCCTTAAGAAAGAACCCAGGAAACCCTGACTAAACCCTAAGCCCGGACTAAACCCTAAACCCCCAAACTCCAAAAGGACCCTAAAAGGGACCCTGAAATTCCTAAACCCAAAACCCTAAACCCTAGACCCTAAACCTAAGCTCAGTCCATCCAGCCTAGGGTTTAGGGTTCAGGGTTTCGGGCCCCTGGATGCGAAGCGCCCAGGGGCTTGGTAATGATACGGTTGATGATACTTGGAGGTTCATGGGTAGTTATAAGTGGGGTTATAAGTCCCCTAATATGTATAGTTACCCTACTTGTAAACCCATTTATAACTACCCATGAACCTCCAAGTAGAAATCTTGCATCAGTAAGGCTTCCTTTTAATTAGTTGAATTAGGGTTTAGGGCTTAGGGTTGAGGGTTTGGGGGCTGTATAGGGTTGATGATCTAGATCCTGCGTGTACCCGTAATAAGGACTATACCATAATTCCCATGGTTTAGGGTCCTTAAGGTAATGCAGGATTTATCTCATCAACAGTATCCCACTGCTGTCCCGAATATGAACACAGTGTTGTAGTACAACATACCCAACGCCTTATTCGTTTCTTCAGGCCCTTAAGAACATACGAAATCCGACTGACCTCAACAAAGCGCGCCCTAAACCCTCAACATAAAACCCCTGAACCCTAAACCCTCAACCCTACACCCTCAACCCTAGACCCTCAGCCCTACACCCTCCACCCTAAACCCTCAACCCTAAAACCTGAAACCCTCAACCCCCAAAGCCTCAACCGGTAACTCTACTTATAAAACATATTAGGGGATTATAACCCCACTTATAAACCCTGGACCCTAACCTGAAACCCTCAACCCTGAAAGCCATACTTATAGGGGACTTCTAACCCCACCAATAAACCCTGGACCCTAAACCCTCAACCCCTAAACCCTCAACCCTAAACCCCTGAAATCCTCTGGTGCTTTGGAAGAGTTCCTGGTTGAAGGGCTGAGGGTTAAGGGGTTTAGGGGTTTAGGGGTTTAGGGTTTAGGGTTTAGGGGTTTAGGGGTTTAGGGGTGTAGGTGTTTAGGGGTTTAGGGGTTTAGGGTTTAGGGGTTTAGGGTTTAGGGGTTTGGGGTTTAGGGTTGGAGGGCTAGGGTTGAGGGTTTAGGGTTAACGGTTTAGGGTTTTAGGGTTTACGGCTCTACAGTTGGAGGTTGCAGGGTTTAGGGTTTAGGGTTGGAGGTTCATGGGTAGTTATAACTAGGGTGATAAGTCCCCCTAATATGGGTTACAAGTATAGTCATCCTACTTATAGCCATAACCCTACTTACAACTATCCATGTACCTCCAAGTAAGGAGTCTGAATAGGTAGCAGTGGGACCCCTCAAAATCCCCCTAAGGAAGCGTAGATATACCAAGAAACTCCAGTAATCAACCCCAAACCCTACAAAAATCCCGAAGCGAATCACTAAACAGATGGGTAGTTTTTTCCAAATTAGAGTCCCTTTTAGGGTCCTTTTTAGAAGGGTGAAAGGGACCCTACTTTAGAGAACTACCCAAAAATTGAGGAACCAGGGGCCCGAACACCAAAAGCCCAAATCCATAAATCACAGGCCCGGACCGTCCCTTCTGTTGATGATATAACTCCTGCATTACCCTAAGGACCCTTAATGTATGGGAATTATGGTCTATTCCTTATTCTGGGTAAGGCAGGATTTATATCATCAACCTTAAGTTACCGTCAACCCTTAAAGCCTAAACCGTAAACCCTTTGAGTGAGCCTTCACCGACTTGTTAGGACCCCGGACAGAGACCTGTACCCAGAGAGCCCACTACCCCAATCATCAACCGTAGGTGCCGGGAAGACCCCCGCAGCTCCGCTAGCGACTACTTGCTTACCTTGGCCCGATGCCGGCAACCCGCGTCTGGGCAGACGCTTTCTACGGCTGATGATCGAAATCTTGCATCAGTAAGGCTTCCTTTAACTTAGTTGAATTAGGGTTTAGGGCTTAGGGTTGAGGGTTTGGGGGCTTTATATGGTTGATGATCTAAATCCTGCATAACCCACAATACAGATTACACCATAATTCCCATAGTTTAGGCTCCTTAAGGGTCCTTAAGGTAATCAGAATTCCCATAGTTTAGGGTCCTTAATGCAGGATTTATATCATCAACAGTACGAGCTGCATAGGGTACCAGTATGAGTATCAGTATCAGTATCTGTCTGGTCAGGGGCTTTCTATTCTAGGAGCTGCATAGGGCACTAACACATTGCGCCAGGAATTTTAGAACAGTCATTTTCTGGAACAATCTGGGTAAGCTTGGCAATCTTGGTCATCTTGCCCCTTTCCCCACTTGATCGCCGACTAGTTTGCCTTTTAGACCCTAGGTTGCAAGGGAGGGGGAGTAAGACTGCCAGCATTCCTGCCATCGTGGTCTAAAAAAAGGTAAACTAGTCGGCGAGTGGCAAGTGGGGCACGACTGCAAGATTGCTTGGCAGTCTTGCTCAAACAATCGTTCAAAATTCCCAGCACACTGTAACTAGTTGTAGTATCCCAGTAAGCATATGAGTATCAGCATGGGTATTGGTATTAGTATGGGCAGAGGCTTTCTATTCTAGGAGCTGTGCAGGCACTCGAGTATGAGCATTTTGTAGTAGTATCAGTACCAATATCAGTGTCGATTTTGGTCGTAGAGTTGGTATTAGTGTTTGTGTGAGTATATTCGCATTTGTGACAGTATTGGTCCTGCTAGTGTTTTATGAGGGTTGTATAGGGGTTCGGGGTGTCGGGTGCAGGGTTTGGGGATATTGGTAGGGCTCTACAAAGGATTCTGGCATGCCAATACAAGTTTTATGGGGGCTAGCGAATGCAAGAGTTCACGTTTAAGACATGCGCAATCATTGGTAATTTTGTGTTCATATTCCCCATCCAACTTAAGTCTGGTCATGAGGGCCCGCAATTCAGGGAGAAGTACTTCCGAGCAACATGAGGGGATTTGAAGCTTTGACCAGAAGGTTTTGGTGTTTCGAGCTGCGGGTGTAAATCCAGGCCGATACCCAGAGAGCCCAATACCCTTGATCGAGAAATGTTCGTTGACCTCTGCAGAGATCCCTTACATACGCTTGGTGATATATATCCTGCGTGTACCCGTAATAAGGACTATACCATAATTCCCGTCGTTTAGGGTCCTTAGGGCAACTCAGGATTTATACCATCAACAGTATCATGCCGTAAAGATATATTCCTTGATTGTTGGATATTGGCTCTGTGGCCACCTCAACTCCTGGAGGCCTCCAACACATGGAAGTCTTGACCAACGCTTGGCCTTCACCCCTGTACATCACATTCACGGATTTTTTTTTTTTTTTTTTTGGGG